TGAGCCACTTTTTCCCTACACCAGTATCTCCCCACCTGGTGAAGTGAAAGGACACCTTTTATGAGAAAAGCACTCTCACAGCTCTCTGAGTGCCATGCATGGCTCAGTGCACCTGCCCTTTTTTCTAGCTGTACTATTGCAAAACCAACACAGTGGGAGCTGTGCCGCGCTTGACTTGGCTCAAATCTCTCCGTTATGTTGTGCATCAACATCTATGCTTTCTCATTGGACCACGGCAGTTAAAGTGACACCAATGGATCCCAAAATAGACATTAGCGTGGAAACTTTCCAACAGAGCTTTCTACAGTGACGGGTGTCTGATATCTGCATTGTCCAATCCTGTGACTCGTAGCCACACATGGCTCCTACGCATTTGAAATGAGACTCATGAAGAAGGAACTGCCTTTTAAATTAAAGTAAAAAAAAATTTAGTTAATTTAAATTTAAGGAGCCATATACAGCCAAAAACTGCTATACTAGACAGCACAAGTCTAGGATGGTGGTTCTGAATGCCCTGGGGGGCTTTTTAAAATCCCAATGTGAAGGCCAACTACATCAGACTGTCACGGGTGGCACCTAGTATCTATCTGTATTCCTTATTGTAGCCTAGAGGGGATTCAGGACCTGCTTGTATTACTAGATGACCATCAAGATTAAATTTAGAAAATTGGATTCTCTGAGAGAACTTATGGAAACTCAGTTTGAGGAACTGGTGTGTGACATGCTGTCTGCATGTTTCCCAATTCTTTTATTTTTTTAAGATTTCTTTTTTTTCATTGTTGACTCTTCTTAGCTTGCCTCATCCTTCTGTGCTTGTCTTTGGAATGTCATGAGTAACAGTCTAATGCTGTTTGTGTCTCCCCCCATGTCGTGAGTCATGGCAGTAAAATGTCTGCCAACGTTTTAGATTGTTTTTTGACTTTAAAAACAGAAGTTCCCATCATGACAGAGGAGCAAAAGCAGGACTTAAACCCCATGATCATAAAGATCAAAGGTATTTCCTGCCTTCCATCGCAACCTGTGCCCATCAATGAACTAAAGGTAAGAATGAGCCAGATGAACTGATTGAAGAGCTCCTTCCCCAGCCACTGCCCCATGACCTGTCACCGTTTATCCCCATCATGGCCCTCCAGGAGATGGGTAATCATCCCCATTTCACCATTTAGGATCTCACAGTGAGACATGAAAGAGATTGGGTTTCTGGGGTTAGGAGCTACCAAGTCTTGAGGTCTCCCATGGTGTTCTTCAAATGGGAGCAGTGATCCTGCCTTTGGAAGGAGTCCTACACTTCCTTGTTACAGCAGCTTATTTTGAACCAGCCAGGGTTAGCACTGTTGTTTGTCTTGGAAGTTCCCTTTCCCCTCTCTTGGTGGGCGCCCTGTCCCTGGATTCTCTGTCTTCCTCTTGCTTTGTTTGCTCCCTGGTTATGCTGGAGCTCATCCTCTTGTATCTTCTTGAGAAAAGGTTAAATGATGGGAGATACACTTGTGCTTCTTCAGCCTAAGGATTCATATCTTTGATGTGTTCTTAAATTCTCCATCCTTATCTTCTCTGTTTTCACCTTCCTGCTGTTGTATTTGCCATGGTGTTCTGAAACACCAGTTAGCTATATGTTAGGTCTAATCCCATTCTCCTCCATTTCCTCTTATTCATTCCTTTATATTTGTTGGTAGAGGCCTGGTGCACAAAATTCATGCACGGGTGGGGGGGGGGGGGTAGGGGGGCCTCAGCCCAGCCTATGCCCTCTCATAGTCTAGGAGACTTGGGGATGTCCGACTGCCATTGCTGCTGCACTCGCCAGCCTTGAGCCCGGCTTCTGGCTGAGCAGCGCTCCCCTAAGGGAGCACACTGACCACCAGGGGGCAGCTCCTGCATTGAGCGTTTGCCCTATGATGGTCAGTGCATGTCATAGAGACAGGTCATTCCACCATTTGGTTGATTTGCATATTAGCCTTTTATTATATAGGATATCTTTGTCTTTTTGTGTAAACATGGGTAATCCATTCAGCTATATATTTTAGTTCACTAATTCTCCAGTTTTTTACTTTTTAAATGTATTTTTTCAATTACAGTTTTGACATACAATATTATATTAGTTTTAGATGTACGAAAGGGTGATTAAACATTTATATAGTTTACAAAGTGATCAAAAGACTCCAGGAAAGAAAATCACCAGGGGATTTCCCCCGACTCTGTCCCATAGGGATCCTCGCACCCATTTCTTAGACCAGAAATAGGGGGCTTCTCTTAGAGCTCCCTGTCCATGCCTGGTACACAATTATGGAATTCAGGCTTCTCTGAGCCCAGTCAGGAACATACTGGAGGAAAATAAAACCCAGGAAACTCAATGAGTTCAGTCTCCTTCACCAGTCTGCCCATTTCCTTTTACTTTTCAGAGTCCTCTAATAAGCTGCTTCATGTATTCTGTCTAGGGTTTTTAGGTGCATTCACTGGGAGAATGCAAGGTGGGGTGTGCTTCTACTCCACTTAAACAGACTTAAAAGTTCCTTTTACTATTTTTAATTTTTCATTGTTAAAATTTTTTAAGTTATTTTTATTGATTTCATAGAAGAAAGGAGAAGGAGAAGGAGAGAGAGAGAGACAGAGAGAGAGAGAGAGAGAGAGAGACAGAGAGAGAGAGAGAGAGAGAGAGAAACATTAATGATGAGAGAGAATCATTGATTGGCTGCCTCCTGCACACCCCACACTGGAGATCGAGCCCACAACCCAGGCATGTGCCCTTGACCAGAATTGAACCTCGGACTCTTCAGTTCACAGGCCGACACTCTATCCACTGAGCCAAACCAGCCAGGGCAAAAAATTTTAATATTGACATTATTGCAGGTGTCCCCCTTCTTCCCCCTTGCCCACCTTTTTTATTTAAATTTATTAGGGTGACATTAGTTAATAAGGTTACATAGGTTTCAGGTGTACATCTCTATGATACAAGATCTGTACATTGCATGTATGCCCACCACCCAAATTCAAGTCATCTTTTGCCAACATATAGTTGACGCCCTTTACCCTTTACTACCTCCCCACCACCCTTCCCTCTAGTAACCATCATACTGTTTTTTTGTGTCTATCAGTTTCAGTTTTATAAGCTTCTGCACAGTAATTTTTTGTTTTTATTATTTTCTAGATGTCCTTTTTTATTGTCTGTATACAAGTCCTTTGCCAGGTGCATGTATGTGTGTGTGTGTGTGTGTGTGTGTGTGTGTGTGTGTGTATGACATTTTCTGTCAGTCTGAGGCCTGACTTTAATTTTCTTAATAGTGTCTTTGATGAAGTCCATTTTATCAACTTTTCCTGTTATAACAAGTGTTTTTTGTGTCCTCTGAAATAAACCTTTTCCCACCTTAAGTTCATGAAGGTACTCTCTTAAGTTTTCTTCTAAAAGATATATAATTTTAGCTTTTATGTTTAGGTCTGTGATTCATCTAGAATTAACTCCATTTTCCTGACCATGAAAATGGTATATTTCATTATGTAGACTTTCTTTAATTTCTGTCTGCAATGTTTTATAGTTTTCAGTGCATAAGTTTTATACATCTTCCATTTTATTTCTTCTTAAGCATTTTTTAAAGACATATGCTATTGTAGGTGATGTTTAAATTGTTTCATTTTAAAATTATTCATGGCTAGTAAATAGAACTCTGATAGATTTGACCATGATGATTTTTAAAATTTTTTTAATGTAATGTGTGTTTTATGTATCTGATTATTATTATACCTTTTGCCTTCGTGCACCTGGTTTGGCTCATAGGACCATTTTTCCCTTAAGTGTTTTGTGATTTTTTGCTATGATCTCAGGTTCAGTGGACCTTTCTCTGTGGGAATTCTTTGAGGTTGAAAGTGGGTTTCTGCAGAAAGGTTTCTTAAGTCCTTCTTCTAGGTACCTGGGAGCACTACCAACCCCAGCATTGTTTTAAAATAAATTTCAGCATCAGTGTAAAATAAATAGGATACTTTAAATATGAATTCAGATCATGACTTTTGTAACAGTTTTTTATTAGAAAACTAGAGTCCTGGTGCACGAATTCATGCACCAGTGGGGTCCCTTGGCCTGGCCTGTGGGATCGGGCCAAAATAGGCTCTCCTGCATCCCTTGAGGGGTCCTTGATTGTGAGAGTGCATAGGCAAGGCTGTAGGACCCCACGAGTGCACAATCAGGGCCTGGGAGGAACATGGAAGGTTGGCTATCCAGGCAGGGATGGGGGAGGGCTCCAAGGTATGTCTGGCCCTCCTTGTTCAGTCCCCACCTGCCGGACCCCAGCAGCAAGCTAACCTATGAGTTAAAGTGTCTGCTCCCTGGTGGTCAGTGCATGTCATAGCGAACAGTTGATCTGCCTTAGCATATCATTAGCATATTAACCTTTGATTGGTTAAATGGCCGACTGGTCAACCAGACACTTAGCATATTAGGCTTCTATTATATAGGATCCTAGCACCACAGTGAACATATGCAAAGGCTCCCTATTCCCTGCCTCAACACAGCTCCGCCCTCTTTTCCATTTCGTTTTCCAACCCCTCATAAGCCCCAAACCTCTGTGAATCTTTCTCCCCCTTGTCGCAGCTTCCCATGTGGATGCTTAATATGGTAAAGATGAGCCTGTGCCAACTCCCCAGATGTATGTCTGGGTCACTTGTGTCCACCTTTTTTTTTTTTTTTTTGCCTGACCTTGACCTAAGACCTAGAAATGTAGATGTGAAAAGGTACATGGCCTGTCTTCATAGCATTCACAATTTGGGAGGAAGAAGTAGTGAGCCAACTGTTGAGCCCTTTCCTGTGCCTGCCACCAGCTTGGCGCTTTCACATATGTCACTCAGTCCTGGGGATGAACTTGCAGAGCAGGCTCTCTCCTGGGTGTTTTGTGGATGAGGAGACCCAGACTCGGGGGCTATGGGAGGCGAGTGTGGCACTGGGATCTGAGCCCCTGCAACTGGGAGCCTTCCTTTAGAGGAGAGATGACGTGATGTCCCCCGGCTTTCTCACAGAGGCTCTGCACCCCCGTGTACTGCAAGTACCAGTTTCATAAGACTCCCGTTCACCAGACCGAGGGGCAGCCCCATGGAAACCACGTCTCCTTCAAGGACCTCAATGTCATCTTCCTTGGGGCAATGAACTCCAATGACCTGAGGGAATACCTGGAGGGCCCCCCAATGGTGGTAGAAGTTCATGATCGAGACCGAAAGTCAGAGGAGTATTCCAGGAAGCCCACCCTGTTTGGGGAGGACCCTCTGGATTCATACCTCAACTTTCAGGCCTTCATCTCTCCCGAAGAGACAAAGAACAACCCCTTTGAATCCCAAAACAAGATGTGGGACCCGTATGGAGTCGCCCGGGTAAGTTTTGCTGACCTCCTCCTCGGCCACAAGTACTTGAACTTGGCTATCCCCATCCACAATTGTAAGTCCAAGCCCACACACCATGACGAGGACGGCAGGAGCAGGAAGGTTGTGGGATTTAGGGCCCCTAATGATTCCCATCACACCCCAATGCCGATGGGCAACTACATAGACGCCAACTCCCTGCTCAAGCTGAGAGTGGACATCACGGTGCCACTGCAGGCCATGGCAGAAGCCCCCGATTCAGACGTCATGGGCACCCAGTTAGGCCGCATCGTTTTCGTATTTGACAGCAAGAAGATCTCCCTCCTGTATAGCCTGCTGCAGGACATCACCATGATCAATGCCAAAGCCCTCGACCTGGACTCCTACCCTATCCCGATCCTCCAGCAGATCCTGTCCGCCTTTAAGATTCGGGTGAAGGTCCAGGAAAGGCCGGACCTGGATGTGCTCACCGGCTTCCACCTGCTGGATGGGAAGATCCACCTCCTCATCTTGGAGGGCTTGGCTGACCAAGGCTTGAAGCGGCTGTGGGAGAGCCACCAAAGCCGGTAGGTGGCATCTGGATGCTGAGTGAGCGGAGAGATCTCTCCAAGCCACGCTGAGGTTCTCTGTCCTCTCTGAGAGGGATACATTCACTCCTTTCCTCTTGGGGTTTATTATAGGGTGCTCCTCAGGTCTCAGGAGTTGGATTTTATAACAAGAGGAACTGATTGATTGCCTTTAGTTGAAGGGAAGACTTTCAGGATACATAGAAGAAAAGGTGGTTCAGGAAAAGGGGTCCGGCCTTCAGACTCCTGGGGGGCCTGCTTGGTTAACGGGGAGCAGAATGTTGTGTGTGGCCCTGGTCCACGTGAATTGAAAGGGAAAAAAAATTGTGCTTTATGACATTAAGGTAGTAGACATCACAAAGAAATAGATTTCAACTCCCCGAGGGAAAAAAATTGTGCTTTATGACATTAAGGTAGACATCACAAAGAAATAGATTTCAACTCCCCGAGGTAGGATATATGTGATATTTTGGATCTAGAGGAGCTGTCAAAGCTACAGAAAATTCTTCTTCCCTGAAGGCCTTCCAAAAGCATGTGATGGGGACATTGTACAGGCAACTGAAGTGTCTGATTCTGGGCTGGAGCAGATAGCCCTCATGGTCCTTCCATTCTTTAGTTTTGATGACATGAGAATTCTCTTTTCCTTTCATGACTTTCAAGCATCCCAGTTTGGGTAAATAGGACCTCCCTTCTTTAATATGCGAGTCCCATATTTGTCCTCGGAGCTCAGATATCCCAGGACCCAGATGTTGATAACAGCAGAAAGTCTTCAAGTTGAGTCTATCCATGCAGCAGGGGAGTGCGACCCTGTGGGGGTCCTGTTTTGGGCTTATGGGCCAAGAAAGACTGGAAGAAACTGGCCTTATGGCTGGTTATCTTCCCAAAAGAACTGAAAACAGGTTCCCACACAAAAACATACACATGAATGTTCATAGCAGCATTATTTATCATAATCAAAAACAACCCATTTGTTCATCGACCAATGAACAAAATGTGATACATCCATACAATGGAATAATATTCATCCATAAAAAAGGAATGAAGCATTGACACACATGCTTCACTAAGTAAAAGAAGCAAGATATAAAAGGCCACATATTCTATGACCCCATTTATATGAAACATCTGGAATAGTCAAATCCTTAGAGATAGAAGTAGATCAGTGGTGGCCAAGATCTCAGGGGAGACACAGAGGAGAAGTGTGGAGTGATGCTAACAGTATAGTTTCTTTTTTGGTGATGAAGATATCCTAGAGTTAGACAGTGTTCGTGGTTGCACAACACTGTGAATATACTAAAAACCACTGAACTGTATGCAGTACTTTAAAAGGGTGCCATTTATGATGTGTAGCAAAGAATTTGGCCTTGCCCAAGAGAGGTCAGGCCTTCGCCCTTGTCTCCTGGAAGGTAATCTATGTTATACCTCATGGGAGGGTCTTTGTTTAGGTTGGGAGCTGACCACACCAGATCTGAAGGTGGGAGCAGCCTCATCTGACAATCATAGTGACGACGGGTTGTGCCAAAAGACCAGCAATGTGATTTAGGGTGGAGCCGTGTGAACTGACCTGGAGACTGAGATTGCCACATGGGCCATCAAGCAATTAATCAGTCATGCCTCTGTAGACACGGTCTGTGGACACCAAGGCGTGGGGGAGTGACTCTGTGCGTATGGCCTCTCCAATGTCATGAAGGGTGCACACCCTGATCCCATGAGGAAAGGCCAAGGAGAGCTTTGCGTTTGGAACCATCCTGGACCCTGCTCTAGGTACCTCTTCCTTTGGCTCATTTGAGCATGTACCTTTTCCCTGTAATAAGCTGTGTGAGCATAACAGCTTTCTGTAAATGCTTCTAGCAAATTGACAAACCTGAGTGTGCTTTTAGGAACTCCTGGAACTTTCCGTGGTTATCAGAAGTCAGGGCAGTTTGGGGGTCTGTGCCTTCAAGCTTTGCAGTTTGTCTAATTCAGGTCATGTGGTATGTGGATTATGTCTCAATGGAAATATTTTTCCCAGGGGCAGAAATAACATAGAGTATGTCCACTGATCCCAGTTCAATTAAGCTAGAAATTAAAAAATTATTAACCAAAAAAAAGTCAAATGCTTAAAAATTAACAATTACTTCCAAATAACCCATGGGTCAAAAGAGAAACTGTAATGGAAACTAGACATTTTTGAATTCAACAATAATTAAAATAGTAAAATATCTAAATTTGTGGGATGACATTAAAGCATTATTTAGAAAAAACTTTACTCTTAAATGCTTATGTTTGAGAAAAATAAAGGCTGAAAATTACTGAGACATTTACTGGAAATGTCTGCGATGTTACAGACATTGAAATAGGTGTTTTAAACTATGTCAATCAGTTTAAAATTTCATTAGAAATTTACCAAAAAATAATACCAAAAATATTTTCAGATTAGATAGTTTCATGAGGTGTCTCAGTATAAAAATTAATGTTGAATTTCTAGATACCACCTACCTACAAAAAATAATTTTTAAAGAGGAAGCAATTTAAAGGTATCATAAAATATGACATTGATAGGAATAAATTTGACAAAAGGGAGCAAAAGACCTCTGTTGTAAATACTATAGGACTTTTAGAAACATTTAAGAAAACCAAAATAAGTGAAGGGAGTTACCATGTTTATTGTTTGGAATATTCAATATTGTAAAGGTGTTTATTATCTCCAAATAGGTCTATCAAATCAATGGAATTCCAATTTAATAATACTAACATTTTTTTGCCATTTTTATTTTTATTTTTCCATCACCTTTTATCCCGTCTATTGCCCTCTTCCACCTCCACCCTTTCCCCTTTACCCCCATCACCACACTGTTGTTCATGTCCATCAGTTCTCTCTCTTTTTTGTTCAATCCTCCCCACCCCCCAGCTGTCTGCCTGCTCTCTATCTATAAGTTTATCTCTATTTGCTTGGTAGTTCAGTTTGTTCATTAAATCCCACTGGCTGAAACAAGGGTGGGGCGGGGTAGGACAAGGGGAGGGCACCCAACAAAGAGAGAAAAAAAGAAGAAAAAGAAAAAATGAGGAGGGGAGGGGTGAGATGGTACCTGCCAGTTTTAACAAGGCAGAGGAAGAGCAGGAAGATGGTACCTATCAGCCTCTGCCTCCAGAAAGCATCCCTGCGTTACAATTAGCAAATGAGTCTCTTTCACATAAAATCTGGGGACTTTGCAAAGAGCTGCTTCTGTGCTGGGCCCTGGCCAACTGAGTCTGGCACTAGCCCTTTTCAGAATCATTTCTCCGTTTGTCGCAGCCCCACAGATCTTGTGGGAATGAGCTCCATCGTTTTCAAAGCTAGATGTTTTGAGGGCTCATCTCTTAGGTGCTCATCTGAAAAGCTTGGATGTCCAATGTGGAAAAGGAACCCTTCACTGCTCATGCAAAGTTTCCGTTTTGAGTTTCCTTCTGATTACGGGTCATTGTGCCAGGGTGGGGATCATGGTGACATTGTGTCAGCCTTTTTACCTGCTCCTGTGTGGCTTTTTCATGTTTGCCCTATGTGAAAGAGGGGTTTTTTGTTTGTTTGTTTGTTTTGTTTGTTTGTTTGTGTTTTTTGTTTTTTGTTTTCAGAGGAAACTGTTTCATATGTAGCTACAGAGAGAGCTGTTGTATGTGTGGGAGGAGGTGGGTTCAGGGTCTTCCTACATCGCATCTTGAGCAGGAATCTAGGTTGAGTTTTTGTTTGCTCTGTTTTAGTTTGGGGCAGGGGGTGGTATTTGTTTGTTGCCAATTCATATCCATTGACTAAAGCACCATTTGTTGAAAATACTATCTTCCTTTATAGAAATACTTTTGCTTTTTTTTATCAAAAATCAGTGAGTCATAAATGTATGGATGTATTTCTGAGTTCTCTATTCTGTTCCATTGATCTATTTATCTCTTCACCAATAGCACACAGTTTGATTACTGTGGCTATAATTAGTCAAGTAAAGTGATTCTTTCCCCTTTATTCTTTTTTTCAAAATTGTTTCAGCTATTCTAGTTTCTTTGCCTTTTCATTTAAATTTTACAAAAAGCTGTCTATATCTATAAAATGTCTCACTAGAATGTTGATAGGAATTGCTAAACCTACATATCATTTGGGGAAGAACTGACATGATTGCTGTTGAGTCTTCCAATCCATGAATATGGTATGCTTCTCCATTTACTTAGATCTTTAATTTCTTTCAACAGCGTTTTATAGTTTTCTTTTTTTATATTTTTTTTATTGATTTCAGAGAGGAAAGGGGAGAGAGTGAGATAGAAACATCAATGATGAGAGAAAATCACTGATTGGCTGCCTCCTGCATGCCCCACACTGAGGATCGAGCCCACAATCCAGGCATGTGTCCTGACCAGGAATCGAACCATGACCTCCTGGTGCATAGGTCAACACTCAACCACTGAGCCATGCCAGCTGGGCAGCATTTTATAGTTTTAAACATACATGTTCAGTATATGTTTTGGTAGATTTATATCTAAGTACTTTATTTTTTAGTCATTTAAAGTGATATGATATTTTTAATTTCAGTTTCTAGGTGTTCATTGCTTGTATATAAAACATGATTGATTTTTCTTTGTTGATCCTGCAGCCTTGCTAAACTCATTGGTTTGAGGAGTGTTTGTTTTTGGTAGGGATTTCTTGGGATTTTCTACATAGACCATCATATCATCAGCAAATATGGATAGTTCAGTTTCCTCCTTTCTAAACTATATGTCTTTATTTCCTTAGTGTGCTGGCTAGGACTTGCAGCATTATTTTTTATCAGAGTAGTGACATCCTGCCTTGTTTCTGATCTTTGGTGGAAGCATGGGGTCTTTCCCTATTATATATTACTAGAGGCCCGGTGCACAAAAATTTGTGCACTTGGGGGTAGGGGGTCCCTCAGCCTGGCCTGTGCTCTCTCGCAGTCTGGAACCCCTTGGGGGCTGTGCTCGCCAGCCTTGAGCCTGGCTTCTGGCTGAGCAGTGCTCCCCTGTGGGAACATACTGACCAGCAGGGGGTACCTGCCCCCTACTGGTCAGTGCACATCATAGTGAGCGGTTGAGTGGCCTTAGCATATCATTAGCATATTACCTTTTGATTGGTTGAATGAACAACCAGGCAACTGGACACTTAGCATATTAGGCTTTTATTATATAGGATGAGGTATAGAAAGGTAAGTAACTTGCCCAAGGCCAGACAAACATCTAGTAAGTAGAACAGTTGGCAATCAAATCCAAATGGCATGGCTTAAATTCTGTGCTATTACTATTATATATATATATATATATAATGTATTTTGAAGGATGGTGTATTACTTTCCCAGGGTTGCTGTTACAAATTACCAAATATTTGGTGAGGGGATGATGGCTGTTTGCAGCTGGTCACACCCCCTTCAGGGTGGGGGTCCCCACTGGGGTGCCTGGCCAGTCTGGGTGAGGGGCTGAGGGCCGTTTTCAGGCTGGCAGGCGACTGAAGCTCCCAGCCTCTTATTTTTTCTTTTTTTTTATTCTGGGATTTATTTACCTTCTATAGCTGTCACTGGAGCTGAGAGCCAGCTCCAGCTCTGAGGCCCGGCTACAGCTCTGAGGCCGTGGCTGGCTGAAGGCAGGTATCTGGGTTTGTTTAGCTTCTATAATTGAAACTCTGTTGCCATCACTGGCGCTCTAAGCTCTGAGGCCCCGGCTGGCTGAAAGCAGGTATCTGGGGTTTGTTTAGCTTCTATAATTGAAACATTGTTGCTTCCGGAGCTCAGAGCTGGGCCGCGGCAGGCGGGGAACCTTGGCTTCCTCCATCACTGGAGCAAGCAAGCCTCATGTTCGCTTCAGCTGCATGGCTGCCGGCCGCCATCTTTATTGGCAGTTAATTTGCATATCCTGCTGATTAGCCAATGGGAAGCATAGTGGAGGTATGGTCAATTACCATTTTTGTCTATTATTAGATAGGATGCTAGGCATAGGGCTTCACAGATGTCCTTTACCTATTTGGGGAACTTCCACTCTATTCCTAATTTACTGATGGTTTCCTAATTCTCTAGTTCACATAATTTACAAAGATCCCAGGTGGATTAAAAACCTATTTGAAATAATTATAGACTTATAATAAGTCATAGGAATATTAGAGAAGTTCCACGTACCCAATACTCAGTTTCTCACAATGGTGACATCTGACATAAAGTGCCTTATTGGTGGACATAGTATAATTAATTAGACCACGATACCTGGCCTTACTCACAGTTCACCAGAAAAATCTATTTTTGAAAACCAGTAGTATAAGGGTTTTAGATGATAATAAAGGAGAACATATTCATGATCTCAGAATAAAGAGTGGTTTCTTAAATAAGACTGAAGTACAAAGAATAAAGGACAATAATGATAGATTTAGCTACATTAAAATTAATAATAACTTCTTGCCCTAGCTGGTTTGGCTCAGTGAATAGAGCATCAGCTTGCAGATTGAAGGGTCCCAGGTTCGATTCCAGCCAAGGGCACATGCCTGGGTTGTGGGCTTTATCCCCAGTGGGGGATGTGCAGGAGGCAGCCAATCAATGATTTTCTCTCATCGTTGATGTTTCTATCTCTCTTTCCCTCTCTCTTCCTCTCTGAAATCAATAAAGATATATAAAAAATAAAATTAATAACTCCTGTTCATGCAAAGACACCAAAGGAATTGTGAAAACACAAGCCACAGAGAAAAAAATATATATTTGCAATGTGTGGAGCTAGTATGCTGAACATATAAAATGCCTGTGAACCAATAAGAAAACAATAACAATATCCCAATGGAAAAATAGGCAAAATACTTAATAAAAAAGGAAGCTCCATGACAAAACACACAGATACACCAGCAGTATGTGCAGGATACTTGAGCCTTCACCAGGTTCAACAAGGGGTGGGGACAACGTGTGCCAAACACAGAGGGTGGCATAGCAGGCTGTGTTTAGAGATTGCCAGGCTGGTATAGCCAGCGTATAAAGATGAGTGCCAGGGTCGAGGTTGTGGGAGGGGCAGTGGGACACAGCAACATGAGGTTGGTATCTGCATTTCAGCATTTTCACTGCCAACCTCCCCTGCAAGGTTTTAAACCAGCAGAAAACAAAACAAAAAAACCTCTGTCAGCCAGAGCAAAACAACAGGAGTTAAGACCCCATCTTGTGCCGTCTCTTGCAGGATCACCAAAGCAGAGTGCGGGACATACAAGGTGCTCTACAACTCCCAGCTGCTGTTTCAGCAGCGCCTCTACGCAGACCTGGACACCATCCTGTACCACATGCACCTCTGCAAGCCACTGTCTCAGCTCATGAAGCACGTGGCGCTCCACCTCCGCAGCAGGGTGATGCAGAAGGCCTTCCGGGCCCTGACCAGGTACCACCCCCGCCTGCTGCAGGGATGGGAGCTGCCAGCCTGCCTGTGCAGTGCAATGGGCAGTGCAGCGACCCTTTGAGAAGCTGGGCCAGGGGTGGAATGCTGTCCCAAGGGACCCCGAGCCTGTGTCGCTTCCACTGTTCCACATGCTCTCCCAAGAGAGCTTGAGAGGCATATTGGTGTAATGAAGACAGTTCATTCAAACCCATGTCACATGAATCTACCTGCTGTACTTGGAGAACATCCCAGAATAGCCCGAGGAATAAGAAACTGGTTCAAACCCATTTTCCCAGGGAGCGATGGGAAACCGCCAGACCCACCAGGCCAGCAACAGCTTTCTCAGCCAGGTGCTGGCTTTTCTGTCTGCTTCTCCCTTCTTTCCCTATTCCTCAAAAGCCATTCTCCAAAGATCTGGGTCTTTTGCTACTTGCATTCCTTTGCCTGTGCTGTTTTGTTTGTTTTTTTAATCCTCACCAGAGGATATTTTTTCCATTGATTTTTAAAGAGAGTGGAAGGGAGAGGGAGAGACAGAGAGAAACACCGATGTTCAAGAGACACATCGATTGGTTGCCTCCTGCATGCCCCCCACCACCACCAGGGCCAGGAGCCTGCAACTGAGGTACGTGCCCTTGACCTGGACCCTTCAGTCTGCAGGCTGATGTTCTATCCACTGAGGGCAAGGGCCTGTGCTGTTTCTTTTGCTCCGACCCCAGGCTTGGAATGGTGGGCACTCCCCACCCTGGAAGCTGTGCGCTCCTTCCGCTGGGTTTTGGGCGGAGCTCCTCCATCTGCATATAGAACGGTGCCTGCTGAGGAGGAGGGCTAAGAGGGACAGGCCCCGTTTAGAAGAGAAGATTGACACTGAAGAGTGCAGTGGGGCGCTGAGTGAGTGCTGGGCGCGCTGTAGCGCTGGGCCCAGGCCAGGCGCTATGCTAGGGAGGCAGCACAGTGTGAGCACGGGACAGGACGCGGGCTGCGTTCAGTGGGGCCTGGGCATTCAGGGGCTCTGCCGCTCAGCGCAGGAAGCTGGCAGGCAGGGCTACCAGTGGCAGAGGTGGTGGGTGGCCAGCAGGGGCAAGCGGCCGGGGTCCACAGTGACCAGCCTGGCTCCAAGGGGACACGCAGTGCCTGGGTGGAGGGTCTCACCTGCGTGGGGAGTGATGGCAGGGAGTCTGCCCCCACACCCCCCCCGGCCCCTCCCCCCCGGGCTGTGGGCACCAGGCAGCCTCAGCTCACCGCGTAAAGGGCACAGATGCAGTCCCACTGCCACTCGGTTCCAGGTGAAAGGCCAGGAGCGAGCAGGGGCCTCACAAAGGAAGCAGGTGGCGGTGCCTCTACTGCCAAGGGCCCAGGCTGCAGTGACAAGAGACACCGGGCCAGGCCCTCCCCAGACGCTGAGCAGAAGCTCTTCCCCCGGAGGCAGGGTGTCCAAGGGAAGGAAGGGGGGAAGGAGGAGGGCTCAGTCCTTGTGAGAAGCAGAAAGTCACCGTGAGCCACAATGCGCTCAGCCTGTGTGGGGAGCAGAAGGAAGCCGGCCTGGCTGCCCCTGGCCTGTGCGCTTGGAATCTACTCTGCAATCAAAGTAGGAAGTCAGGAAGTGACTGCCCAGAGCTCAGGGTCCTGCTGCCTGGGCAACCCCCCCCCCCGCCCCCCTCCCAGCTGCCCCGCCTCTGGGTCCAAGTTGCTCCAGAGGGAAAGGGAGGGGAGGGAGCGGACAGAACCCCATTCCCATGGAGCCCCATTTCTGTGATCTTCCCCAGCTCCCCACTGCCTGGGCCTGAGCTGTCCCGGCAGAGAAGGGGTGCCAGAGTCCCCCAGGCTGGGGGGAGCCTCCCCAGGTTCACCTCCTGCAGCCCCCGCCCCCCTCCCCCCCGCAGAGAGCCCCTTCCTGCCACTAAGGTGACAGGGAAGGACACGTGGGAGTGGGCGGCTCTCAGACGCTTTCCTTCTATAAGCGCATGTTCACCCGCTAAGCAGCCTCTCCGAGCTGTCCTTTCCTCCGGTAAAGTGGGGATGGTTTGACCTGTCTCGCAAGGCAGGTGAGCCTGAGGAGGGTGGCCCTTCTGTGTTCCAGGATCTACTGCATCTGCCATTACAGCACCAAGCTCAGGGAGGTGATCACCCGAGACCTGCTGCCTTCCTCCACCATGATCAAGCACTTGAGCCAGGAGTTTGGCTTGCCCATTTCCCTAAAAGAACTCATCGACAACAAGAAACTTTTGGCCACCCCACCTCAACCCACCTCCACGCTTGACCTGCGAAGTCGGAAATCCACCCTCAACACTGAGATCCTCGCCCACCAGGAGAAGTACCTGCAGTGGCGGAACAGTGTGATGAAGAAAAGATACGAGACTTTCAATCTGATCCAGGTGGGCACCCTCTCTGCTCTGCGGTCAGGGGTGCCAGGCCTTGGCCCCACCTGGGCTGTCCGGTCGCATGCTGGGAGACATAGAGCAGGTGGCCACATCCCGAATGGGGCATCTGCCTCTGGCCTGTACCTACTCTCCTGCCCTGGGATCCCAGGCGGGATGGGCAAGATGTGCCAGGTGCAGGGCTGGCCCACCCCAGAGGCACTCACTCATAGCCTGGCACACCCCGTCCTCCTGAAAGGCGACAAGGAAAGCTCTTTACCTTGGCCCCAGAGTCCATCTTTGAGGAAGAACTGTCGTGTGTGTGTGTGTGTGTGTGTGTGTGTGTGTGTGTCATCTTAAGTTGCTAAGGGCATGTTATCGAGTGTCCAAGCAACACAGGAGATAAAGTAAATGGGCATGAGAAAATGTAAAAGGAAGAGAGAGGAGACTGAGAAGCTGGTGAGGCAACAGGAGGCTGGCTGCTGTGGGGCCTAAATGGCCAACAAGAACCGCCTTCACCCCACACCAACCAAAATACAAAAACACCAGCATCCAAGGTGGGACTCGAAGTCCTCACTTGTGGTCTGTGTGTAAGAAGCCACCGACCACATCCCCACACCAATCTCTATTCAAACAACAAGTCCCCTAGGAGTGTGCAAACTAACAAGGCCACTTTTTTTTTTTAACCTTCTTGAGTTAAAAAAAATTTTTAAGCAAAAGATAGTTCTTTTGCTGAAGGTTGCTAGGCAAGTGAAGGACAAGCTGTGCTGCCCAGCACTTAGCAATTTAGAGTAAAACTCTTCCTCGTTGTCTTTTTGGGTCTTAGCCACCTTTCTCCTCTGAAACCTTCTGTTTCGCCTTTTATCTCTTTCCTCGTTGCTATTTTCTTTTGATGTTTTTATTTTTCAACTATAGTGGGTATACAATATTATGCTACTTTCCGGTGTATAACAAAGTCATTAGACATTTGTATACTTTATGAAGGGATCACCCTGGTAAGTGTCGTACCCATCTGACACCATACACAGTTATTGCAATATTATTGGCTGTACTTTACATCTCTGTAACTGCTTTTATGTACTTTATGAAGGGATCACCCTGGTAAGTGATCCCATCTGACACCATACACAGTTATTGCAATGTTATTGGCTGTACTTTACATCTCTGTAACTGCTTTTATAACTAGAAATGAACTGGATTTTTATTTCATTTTTTTATTTTTTTCCTTTTTGCTCAATCCCACCCCTTTCCACATCCAACCTTACCCACTCTCTCCGGACAGCTGTCAGCCTGCTCTCTGTCTGTGAGTCTGTCTCCACGTTGCCTGTTAGGTCAGTTTGTTCATTAGATCCCACACAGGAGAGAAATCCTGTGGTAGTTGCTGTTTTTATTCACAAAGGAAGCCAACAGACCATTCTGAGGCTGTGGAGAGAAGAGGCTGATACCCCCATGCATACAGCCACGGTCAAGGAGGGTGGTCCTTGCTGCTTTAGTTCATGGCTCCCTGTATATACCGCGCAAGCCTCCCGCCTCTCCCACACCTGACTGTCTGAGCCGTAAACTCTGCCAAGTGCTATGTGTCCCAGTGCCACGTGCCTGGTCCAACAAGTTCCACTTGTAGACAGTAAGGGGCCGGGCTGGATGGCCCTGGGGCAGGGTCTGTGATGAAACGCCAGCTCCCGTGTTCAGGAACCGATGCCTGCACTGCAGCCGTGCCCTGGGGCCTACTCCAGGCAGGCGGCTGGTGCTGAGGGGCCCTGAGCAGGTAATGCCTGGTGTCTCTTGTCTTCAGAAAAACATCAGCAAAGCCTACCAGGTGAGCAGGAAGTCCCCAAAGCCCGTGGTGAGGGTGATTCGGGGTTCGATCCCTGCTACAGAGGATGTGTACAACTACAGCACTCAGGCCCTGAACTCGGCAGAGCTGGTCAAGAAGAAGCTGTACGGTGAGATGAACAAGGTGAGTGAGAGGCGCAGAGAGCGGGAAGCAGCCATGTGCTTATACTCCGGGCAGGATAGCAGCCTTTGCCTGACCCCATGAACTCTCTCCTCTCTGCCCACCCTGCCTGGAGCTCAGCAGGAGATCTGGTGTGTGGGTGAGAGCCAACCAGCAAGGGGAGGAAGCAAGGGCCCGGGCGCTGGGAGAGGTGTTCTGTTCCCACACTACGTGTGAGTCCTCCACGTGCAGGGGTGAGCCAAGAGGTCCTCAAGGCAGATGTTCACAGCTGCCAACCACTGCAGGTCCCTCGCCTCCAGGAGAAGGTGGCAGCTGCCCCGGAAAAGCAGCCGTCACCCTGAAGGCTAAGTCTAGAGTAGTGGTTCTCAACCTTCCTAATGCCGCGACCCTTTAATACAGTTCCTCATGTTGGGGTGACCCCCAGCCATAAAATAGTTTTCGTTGCTACTTCATAACTGTCATTTTGCTACTGTTATGAATCGTAATGTAAATATCTGATATGCAGGATGTATTTTCATTGTTACAAATGGAACATAATTAAAGCATAGTGATTAATCACAAAAAAAATATGTAATTATATATGTGTTTTCCGATGGTCTTAGGCGACCCCTGTGAAAGGGTTGTTCGACCCCCAAAGGGGTCGCGACCCACAGGTTGAGAACCGCTGGTCTAGAGCTAGGCTTTCGGCACACGGTGCATTTAGACTAGGGCTACTCACGTCAAAACACAGATGGGACACTCCCAGGGCCGCTGCCCAGCTCAGGGCATCTGTCCAATACTGTCCCTGTGCCCTCTGCGGTTTCTGACATCTGCTTGGAAACCTGAGGCCGAGTCAGCCCCATCCAAGTCTGCCCCCACCCCCACTTCCATTCACACGTTTGCCCCTCATTTCCAGGAGCCATGGAAAAGATACACGTATTCACAGCATTTCCTCTCAGCCATGGTGGAGACTCGGAATTTAAAGGAAGAGGAGAAAAAAGCCAAGGAGAAGTCCCGCCAGGCCTGGCTCACAACCAATGGGTTCCGAGTGATCGGTCTTCATAAGAGCACTGAGAGCGACCACCACCTCGACCTGCTGCCCATTGGTGCCACCACAGAGCTGACCGAGGTCCCCAGGGAGGAGCCGGGTGTCGGGGAGGGGGAGGGGCGTCCACAGGGGCCT